TAAATGTTAACCACTGTCTATACTTATTAAGTAGACATGGTAAACATTCACTTCCACAAGAATTAACTAAACGCTACACAGTAGGCCTGGCCGCTTTATTGTTTGTTTCACATCCTTGATGTGCAGCAGGCATTAATAATGACAAGAAAAATGATAGATGTATCATTTTCCAGGATTCTTTCAAGTACTGGCTGTGTATGTGTAGACTAAAACCTGTAAATTTTGCTTTCTATGAGTCACAATCAGCGTTTGCTGATTGCTGAGTGAGTGAGTGAGTGAGTGAGTGTGTGAAAAATCGCTGATTGTGACTCTCATGAAGTGAAATAAACAGGTTTAATATGTCAAACACATTCACTACCGATTCAAAATATGATCATAGCATCTAATTATTTCACAATTAAAAAAAAAACATTGTTTTAGATGAAATGAGTATTTGCAACTTTGGTGCAGACATCGAAAGCTCTCAATTAATAACTGTGGAAGAGCATCTAAATAGAACACTAAGTTGAGAGCACGCAATAGCTTGAAATACGAATAAGAAGAAAATACCGGGTTGCCTTGACTCAGTTTAGGTTGTCAGTTATGCTATTTACATAGGGGAAATGGCTCTAATGTTGGCCAATTGATCTAATATTGGGCCTATCGTTAAAAATCTGCCATTAATCAATTTTATCTAGATGAACGCGTCATTGGGACGGTAGTTATTAATATTTTTGGTCGCTGTTGAAAATTTATTCGATTGCATAATTTATGTATGTGCCCAAATTAGGGGAATTCAGGCCGACATTACATCCATTTCCCCTATCTGAATTTACTATCAAAAAGTAATTTTATCCTGCTCGGGTAGGAACAGTACCACGAATCGACCATTTTTACGGTTGTTCCGGGTATTCCAGAGGACAAGCTGGTGCTCTACTGGAAGCTCGATTTCTCCAAAAGGTGGTCATTTATCTGCAAATAAACTTTTCCAAGGACTCCACCATGATTATATCTCGTCAAATCTTCTCAAAAATCGTGTTGGGCCCCAATCAGCTCAAATCTGATACGGTACCAGAGCAGCAGAAAATGACTAATGAATACCTAGCTCTGACCTCATACCAAAATTTGGTATTGACCAGGGCAACCCGGTATTTCTGACAGCTTGAATGTTTTGGTTTGCAATTAATACGATACGATACGATTACGGTGCTGTGTGAAAAGTTCCCTGACCAGCAAGAAGAAAATCGACTTCTTGAAGCAGATTGAGAAGGACGGTGAGGAGGGCATTCCGTCGGTGCAACGGTTGGTTTGTGATAAGAACGACAAAGGCTAGGCCAATTTTGAAAAGCTGCCGGAGGCTATCAAGGGCGGTAAAACGTTGGGCGTCTTCTTCAAGGAAAATTTTCCAGGTGAATTCTGTGAATCGTGGCGAGCCTTCATCAAGGACAAGAGCTTCGACACGGTGGACATCAGCGTCCCAATCGGGTACATCATGTGCTCCAAGACGGGCTCCAAGGTTATCACCATCAAGAAGGCCTGCCTGGTGACGGTAGACGTATTCAACAAGTACCTCAAGAATCACATCATGGTGATTATAGATGCTGATAAGAAAGTAAAACATGCCAAACTGTCGGAGGGTGTCGAGTAGGCTCTGACGGCAAAAGGTACGGCTCCGGTGTGGACACCAACTAGTTGGACATGTGCTACCCGGCGACTATCCAGTTGGTCGGATCGATTATCTGTGCTCTGGGTGCGCATTACAAGTCCTATGCTCCAATGTCGTCTGAATGTTGCTGGTCAATCCGACGGAAACGACTCAGAAGCACTACACCTTTCTGGCCAATCTGGAAGAGGAACTGCTGAAGGTGATGATTCCGGGCAAGAAGCTCTCCGAGTTTTTCGACGCTGGAATGTATTATGCCAAGAAGGAGGACCCCAAGCTAAGACGTTCTGTTTTGCTATCGGGTTGGAGCTCCGGGAGAATTCGATCGTAGTATCTCAACCAGAGAAATTCGGGATGAAAATTGTATGTTAATTAGGTTGAGTGCAAGCAATAAAATTTCCGTGTGATTTTCAGCAGCAAATCACCAGCACTCGGTCAATTGGTCATCTACCAAACCAAACTCACTTGAACAATACCGAACTTCTTTCCACGGCACAATCACACGGAATTTTTATTGCTTCCACTCAACCTAATTAACTTATTTTTTTTTTATGTTACAAAAATCGAAAACCATTTATTCCATCTCGTATAAGATGACACATATCCGAAAATAAAACTGCTCTTTAACTTAATTCTAAGTTAAACAGAAATCTCACTTCAAATTTACATACGCGGCATTGGTGCTAAGGACACAGTTGCTACCCTTCACCACCATCAAATCAAATCCATCGTTAGCCCAGTAGTTGGACCAGGAGTTCTTTATAAGCAAGTAATCTTCTCCACCGCCACCAACCTGCATGATTTAATCTATCCAAATTATTAATAAACTCTGGGTCGTACTACACTCCATTTGCGTAGTAGCTGAAAGACTTGTGACCGGCATCGATAGTAATCGACAGCCGTCGGAAGCCAACATTTTGAATTTAAATGTGAACCGAGAAGAGAATTGCTGGTCTGAGTTCCTCTAGTATATTTGATTACAGTATGTTTCTGAAATACACAGTCAAACAGCACGTAATGATGTGAACAACTTCAATGACAGCTGTCCAGCAGTGCTCCCATTTTATTTAATGAACAATCCAATGCCTACGAGATTCTGCCGAAGGTGGGCCGATGGATGTGCCTAAGCTGTGCCGAATCTACTTATGTGCTGAGTGACTTATCCCTTGGAGCAAACATGAAAACTTCTTAAATATAACTTATTTATAACATGTTGTTAATAAGTTATACTTCAATTGTACTCATGTTTCCAAAACCGACATATGAAAACATGTTGTAGGGGAGAACCGTACATAACGCACTCCCGAGGTAAGACGCACGTTTTTATTTTGTTTTGAGTTTTTCATACAATTCTAGGATTTATCATGCAGGATTTTGAGTTCAGATGCTATGCTAGAAGTGCTGTTTGATAAGACAACAAAAAAAGTTACGTAAAAGCCATTAAAAACACAAATCAAAGTCAGCTGGTGATACCATTATACCATTCCCCTATATGCATAAGTCTAGCAGGTTTTCATCAAATACAATCTGTTAGAAATGTGTTATAAATAGGTAATATCGAGTTGAAATACCGAATTAAAAGTGCAATATATGAAACAAGTAATGTTCTTTTTTTTCGAATTTTATATATGTTTTGATAAACTTTATTTCATTTCTCAAGGCATTTTTTTATACTATAAATTAGTTGTATATAAGAAAAAAAAGTAGAGTCTCAGCTGTGGTTGTCATAAATAAATTATGTATACTCTTTTAAAAGAAACTATGTTGCTTGAGTTATGTGATGCTTCTTTTGCAATTTTAGATGTGTCACCAGCGATTTGTACAATCTCATATGCTATGTTAAGAATTTTCTTTGAAAGCCAGGAACTTGAGAGAATTCCCAAACTTGTGGGAATTTAATTGAGATATCTAACTTAATGTTGGTAGCCAAGCACAGGCCTGTTTTTAACTTTTCAGCTTTAAATGTTTGTTGGGAACCTTCTTATCTAAAAGTCGGAGTCGGAGTCGGATGCCTTCCGACTCCAACGTCGACTCCAACTCTACAGAAATTACATGGAAGTTTGTAATCAAGAAATAAAAGCTATCGCTAGGATTTCAAAATAAATGAAAGTCCTAGTTTGATCCTGATGAATGTGGGTGTATTTATTTAAACTTGTTTCTTGATTTTACAATCTGGGAACGTAAATTATAGTTCTGTAATTCAAAGTGTTTTTATGTTACTTCATACGCAAAGTTGGAGATTTTCAGAGTTGGTTGGAAATGCTATCTAACATGAAGCTTTAGTGTGATAATTTATTAGCTAGAGAATGATATTAGAAGATAGGTAGATAGTTCCGTTAGAGTACGGCAGTATGAAACTATCCACCTACCCTCATCTAAGATCATTCTCTAGCTAGTAAATTATCACACTAAAGCTTCATGTGAGATAGTATTTCCAACCAACTCTATAGTTGTGTGTCAGATCCTCAGTTGTAAATAGTAAAATACTGTTGAACTTCGGATGTTCAGGTTTCTTTCATTAATTGTTACATTTCAAGTGATAAGCCTGAAGGGATCTTCATCTTTATCATTTCTCGGAAAATCATTCTCAAATTTGATTCTTTCAACCCTCCTGAGAGAATAAACTTGTGAAGGAGACTACAAACCAAAACTCACGCATGCATTTTCACGCACTCACACTTACAACGCCAAAAAATCATTTCAGCTTAAAACTCATAAAAACCGCCCAAACGTTTATTGATATCACGTTCATGCATGTTAGTTTAGTTTTCCATCGAATAATGGAAAAACAAGACTATTAGCAAATAACAACGCCAAAATGTAAAGCAATAAATGTTTGTACCGGAAGTCTCATCGGTTATGATTGCGCAGTAGAATTTCGGAAGGCAAAACTTATAGACGAATAACGTGAGTTTTGAGTTTTTGAAATTTGCCAATTTCTGATCGTTATGAAAGTCATATCCTTTAAAATTAACATTATATTCTTTCTATATCTAGGACTCCAAAATTATTCCAATGTCGGTATACAACTGTGAATTCAAAATCTGAATAAGAGCTTATTAAGGTTAAAACATGCTTATTCAGCTAAACAATGGTTCATTCAGCGTTGAGTCAGCTTAAATTGTATGTTAATACGCAACGGTTTTGATCAGGCATATTTTTACTAAGAAAACGAAAGCCATTGATGCAATTAGTTGGCCCTCTGCACCACTTACAATGCTCAGAATACCTTAGTGAGTAAGATTGACAAATTGAACCTTGAGAATGCTTTAAGTATGAACTCTTGTTGAGTGTAGGTACATGACAATATTTTGAATTAATATGTACATTTGTTGAACCAAAATATCCAATCACTCACCTCTGTCCTCTGTCTGTCCCAACAGTGGCTGCCTGCTATTCACTTCAACGTTATTATTATTTTCGCTCGTTGAACGTGACCGTGTCTCGTTCGCGTTCGAGGAATGGGCTGCGGTATTTTTAACTTTTTGTGTACAATTTTTCCAACACTTTTATTATATTTTTTTCGCACACAGCCAAATCAGATCATTTGCAAGCTAATATTGTAAAGAGGATTTCGTTTCTCAAACACTGTTCGGTCGTAAAGCTGGATGCTAGCAAAAAAATAACAAGGAAAGCAACAACGAAATAAGACCAGTCAGCACCTTTCACGATTCTCCGCAAAACCACAAAACCGGATCGAATTCGCCGATAAAGAGAGTGTTTTACCTTGGCGACAGTTTTCGTTCTCTTCGGTGTTGCTTCCTCCCGCAATCAACGAAACACTTTCCGATGAGCAATGAATCGAAAATAAAATTAAAACCTTATTCGCCACGGTAAAGAAAGCTTTAAAAATTGCGAAAAAATAAATCACTAAAAAATGGTAAAACAACACATACCACCCCACGGAGGAACGGTCAAGTAGAAGAGTGTCGCGCGCGTACCGCAAAGCCAACAATATGGCAAGAGAGTGTAGTGTTGTGGATCGAAACCTGCGATCGACCGTCGTCGCGAGTGATTAAATTATAACTAAAAGCAAAAATGAACATCGGCACCCCCGGAAAGCTGTTCACATCGGACGCGCTACGACACTTGAATAGCACACAAGCTTGGCCCGCGCGTGGTTGCGATCTCGTAGAACAAGTATAAGTATTTAGGTACCCACCTCAACAGCGTGCGTCTTCGTCGCTGATCTCCGAGCGTCGTTCGCGGTTGATCATGCGCGAGTGTGGGTTGATGGGGGTGATCAAGAAACCGAAAAATACATGTAAATGTTTGAAGCACTAGCAGTTGCAATGGGGAATTGAACCACCCAACCGTCTCTTGCTTCGTTAGTCTAAAATGAACCGATCATCTTCGGTCGCAACGGTCGACGGCTAAGTAAGTGCCGCGTACACATGTGTGAACAACTAGTTAGCATTACGCGAGTATTGATCACGATCGCCATGCACTGCGATTTTTTATGTGTTCATTTTCTCATTTCCTTTCCACAACAGGCAGCAGCCGGGTTGCATTCAGTGCACTGTTTGTGTTGTTGCTGAGCCTGGCTCACTACGTCTGATGTAGGGTAGAACAGTATATAATGCACCCATGGGGTAAAATGCCCCCTCGCATTTTCCGTTGCTTTTCCATTACTAATTTTGGGATTTAATGTGCCGAAATGCTAGTTTAAGTACTGAACGGGAAAGCTAAGAAAAACCGCGTAGGGTAATTTTACCCTAGTAAAATGCATTTTGGCCTGTCATACCCTACAGACGCAGCGAGATGGATGTGTGTTCTAGTGGGATCACTGTATATCACTGTTTGGATTGTATGGTATGTAAATGTGGCGCCACGGGCTTATAGGAATGGTTCGTGACAGAAATGCGTGGTTGTTATTACTTTTTTATGTTATTTTTTCGGCGGAATGTTTTGGGTGCGATGTTGTGACTCGGGGCACACGCTACACTGTGATGATGTCATACGCGATGTAGCAGACACAGAGATGAATCAAGGGGGCATGTGTGATGGTATTTGTTAATCGCAAAAAAAAAATCATTAGAAGGGTCGGCTCGGCTAATCGTTAGCATCCATGCCTCTTATGCTAAAGGTTACGAGTTAAAATCTTCTCCCGGGATGGATTGTTTTTAGTTTTCTCTAGAATTTCCTAAGAATTATCTTAAAGTTCATATAGGGACTTTTCTGTTATTCTCCTTCAATTATTTCTGTAATTTTATAAAAATTATTTACTGCACGCTTATGGAATTCACTCCGCAGTTCAACTCTTTGCAAAGTTACTCAAGTAGCACATGTTGTCACATTTTTTTTTCTGTTCGGAACCTGACACTACTACGACCAGTTAATTGATCTATTGTAGTATATCTCGTGTCCTTAGTTTAGTGCATGTCGTATTACTCCATCACTATTGAGAAATGATGAAGTATTCGATTTTTTTTACAGTTGCCACTCTTGCATTTATCGCAAGGATCCGACTCTAATTGAAAGGTCCCGCTATTTATACCCTTCGGAGTGTTGAAACACCCTCCAAAGGCGCGCCCCTTAGTCAGTGAAAATTGGATTCCTTAGCAACAAAATTAAGGTATGACACCGATAATGACCATGCATCAGAACCCTAGTCTCAACCACTTCAAACTAGGGAACAACGAATAGAAGATTAGTAATCACATAGATGAAGACAACTAACTCATTTGTTTTTCCTTGTTTCAAGATCATCCTCAGTAGACAAAGCCGAGTCTTGTCACTATCAACAAGGCATACAAAGTAACAAGGACTAAGATGTGTTCCTTGGATTACTGAAAAATCCTGTTCCCCTAGTTTGAAGTAGTCAGGACTAGGAATCGGTGGTAGATCTTACATCCCGTAACGTACCACGAAAAGGTGATCTACCCACGTTACGGGGCATGTTGTCACATAAAAGTTGCTGCTACTATATTGTGACCAAATTATGTGTCGTAAAATCATTACCATGAAGGCAACAGCAATGCAACCAAAAAATCGCAAGATGCGAGTTGATATGTAACCAACTCAATGTTTATAAAATTATAATAATCATAAGGGATATTTGTAACGAAAACACGTATCAGAAAAAAAAATATGCAGTTTCATATTTACGGTGACGTTGGGAGTTTTATATTCATAAAATAAATGAGCCTTCATATAAATTAGTTGAATTATTATCATATTTGTGGTCATATATTATACGAAATAAGAAATGGTTTACACTCAGATTGAGAGGTACACTTCTAACCAAAAGTTTCATGATATGAACAATTTCTTAGAGATTAGAATTAAAACACGTTTCTTTGAATTTGTGCTTAAGGTTCAGTATTAACAATAGCATCACCATTAATTAAATACTTTAGCATTTGTATTTTATAAAAAAAATCACTATTAACAAACAATTAGATTGTGACTGGTGAAACATTACTAAGCTGCAGTGTAGCTTTCATTTTTCCAGATCATAGATATTACATTTGAGTTTCCATCTGGAGACATATGACTCTTAAGGTCACGCTGAAACGAAAATGTAACTGTAATGCGGCATACACTAGTTGCCAGGTTACATACTCGTCATAAAAATTTGATAAATCAAAATATTCATAGCTTTTCGGTCACTATTGTGTGGCAACTCAGTTACAGTTCAACCAATTGATAACATTAGATCGACACAAAAAGGTTACACTGTGTCATCATTGAGACCAGAAACACCGTGACAATCAGATTATGTAATTACCAATGACCATTGTGTGACATTAATGTGTCCTGTTACTTAGAAGGTCATGACGTAATATATTTCATGGCTACCTTTATGTAATCATTGTGTAACATGTTCCTCTTTCTCTTTTATAAAAAGATGTTACAGGTGCTACTTGGGTAATCATTTTTAAATAATTACAGTGCTGCAAAAAAAAATATCGACCATACACGGCATATTCACAAAACAGCTTACCTTTAAGGGAAATCATGTCAATTGTCAGTGAGAATGTAGTCATTGACAAACATGTGCAGTAGGGTGTCCCAAAATAGCACCTTGTCTGAAAAATTTGGAGATCATCCTACAAAAGATAGCCAAGCATGTTACAAAAACATTTTTGTACGCCGGCAACTATGAAGAATGTGATTTAAATGTAGCCCCGATAGGATTTTTGAAAAAAAAAGTCGATTATTCATAGTCAGAGCTGAACAAATATTTCTGAAGCATAAAAATTCAGTGCAACCCAACTCTTTTGTTTTTTTACACTTCCTTTGAGGTCCCTACTATAAGATAAACAAATTTTATGGCCTGCTAGATGCTCCATTGTATCATGAACACAATTTCAACTCTCAGAAATCAAGATTTTTTAGGTGATTTATGTCATACAATCATCAAAATTGGGGATTTAAATTAGACCTATAGTTGATTAAAAACATCTAAATATGCAAAATTTTATGAAAAACAACTTTGCCGAGGAGAGTATATGCCAATTGTTGATCGTTATTTAATTATTGATGAGAAAGGATTGTTAAATTTTCATATTCGTTCAGAACTCATTCACTACGTGGCGCTAGTATGCAGGCGAACTTCCTCAATACGGTATGTCTCGAAAGCTTGCCCATATAGGATGTTACTGTGTAATGTTTGTATTCCCGGTACAGGGGGCCGTGTGGAGGCCGGATATCGATGCATGACGCCATTTTGGAATCTAAGATGGCGGCCATCTTGGATAGTAAATACTTTCAAATGCCCTACAATATTAGTATTTCTGGAACGGGGATGACGTAGAGTGGTCGAAAATCGATGTTGGATGCCATTTTGAAATCCAAGATGGCGGCAATCAGTGTTAGAAATATTGTAAAATGCCCAACATATGGGTTTTTTTTCGGAGCGAGGATGAAATGTAGACGTTGAAACTCAATATCCACCGCCATCTTCAAATCCAAGATGGTGGCCATCGATTTTATGAAAACTGTAAAATTCCCAAGAATATGGATATTTTCGGAACAAGGACGACTTGTAGATATCAAAATTAGATGTCCGTTGCTATTTTAAAAAACTGTCGGTTTTTGAAAAAAACTGTCAAATACGCTACAATGGACATTATTTTAGAATCCAAGATGGTGGCCATTGGTTTTAGTAATTCAGTTAAATTCCTAAAAAAAAAATCGTATTTCCGGAACGAAAACCACGTGTCTAGATGTCAAAATTCGATGCCCGTAGTCATTTTGGACCCCAAGATGGTGGCCATCGGTATAAGAAATACTGTCAAATTCCCTACAATATGGGTATTTTCTGAACGGGGATGACATGCAGAGGTCGAAAATTGATGTTGGACGCCATTTTGAAATCCAAGATGGTGGATATTGGTTTCAGAAATATTGTCAAATACCCAGCAATATGGGTATTTGCGGAACGAAGACTACGTGTAGATGTCATAATTCAATGTCCACCGCCATTTTAGAATCAAACATGACGGACACCGGTTAAAAAAAAACTGTAAAACACCCACAATTTGAGTATTTCCCGAACAACTATTAATGCATTTAAACCATTTTGAGCCAATTTGTGCTTGGTGGAGATAAACAAATTGATATAGAAAGTTAAGATGATGAAAGCATCCTTAGGTGACCATGCCATACCATCCTTAGGGACCATACCTGATAACTCATTGCATAGTTGAACATTTGATTTGAATTGTTTCTTAGTTGAAGATTTTCATAACAAAACTTAATCTATCAGAAGCATAGGAAACAAAGATTTCTGACCACCTTAGTCTTTGGAAGGTGGCTTCGAAAATATTATATATATATATATATCATGAGAGGACATCCAAAAGATGTGATTTGAATTGATGCACAGTTTGAGATCTTCAGTACAATCAACCTGAAGTCTAGAAA